GCAGTAGCTCTATGGCAGTAGCTCTATGACAGTAGCTCTATGACAGTAGCTCTATGACAGTAGCTCTATGGCATTAGCTCTATGGCATTAGCTCTGTGGCAGTAGCTCTATGGCAGTAGCTCTATGGCAGTAGCTCTATGGCAGTAGCTCTATGACAGTAGCTCTATGGCATTAGCTCTATGACAGTAGCTCTATGGCATTAGCTCTATGGCAGTAGCTCTATGACAGTAGCTCTATGGCATTAGCTCTATGGCAGTAGCTCTATGGCAGTAGCTCTATGACAGTAGCTCTATGGCAGTAGCTCTATGACAGTAGCTCTATGGCATTAGCTCTGTGGCAGTAGCTCTATGACAGTAGCTCTATGGCATTAGCTCTATGGCAGTAGCTCTATGGCAGTAGCTCTATGACAGTAGCTCTATGGCAGTAGCTCTATGACAGTAGCTCTACTGCATTAGTTCTATGGCAGTAGCTCTATGGCAGTAGCTCTATGGCAGTAGCTCTACTGCATTAGCTCTATGGCAGTAGCTGTGTGGCAGTAGCTCTATGACAGTAGCTCTATGGTAGTAGCTCTATGACAGTAGCTCTTTGGCAGTAGCTCTTTGACAGTAGCTCTATGACAGTAGCTCTATGGCAGTAGCTCTATGGCATTAGCTCTGTGGCAGTAGCTCTATGGCAGTAGCTCTATGGCAGTAGCTCTATGGCAGTAGCTCTAAGGCAGTAGCTCTATGGCAGTAGCTCTATAGCAGTAGCTCTATGGCAGTAGCTCTATGACAGTAGCTCTATGGCAGTAGCTCTATGGCATTAGCTCTATGGCAGTAGCTCTATGGCAGTAGCTCTATAGCAGTAGCTCTATGGCAGTAGCTCTATGACAGTAGCTCTATGGCATTAGCTCTATGGCAGTAGCTCTATGACAGTAGCTCTATGGCATTAGCTCTATGGCATTAGCTCTGTGGCAGTAGCTCTATGACAGTAGCTCTGTGGCAGTAGCTCTATGACAGTAGCTCTATGGCATTAGCTCTATGGCAGTAGCTCTATGACAGTAGCTCTATGGCAGTAGCTCTATGACAGTAGCTCTACTGCATTAGTTCTATGGCAGTAGCTCTATGGCAGTAGCTCTATGGCAGTAGCTCTACTGCATTAGCTCTATGGCAGTAGCTGTGTGGCAGTAGCTCTATGACAGTAGCTCTATGGTAGTAGCTCTATGACAGTAGTTCTATGGCAGTAGCTCTATGGCAGTAGCTCTATGGCAGTAGCTCTACTGCATTAGCTCTATGGCAGTAGCTGTGTGGCAGTAGCTCTATGACAGTAGCTCTATGGTAGTAGCTCTATGACAGTAGCTCTTTGGCAGTAGCTCTTTGACAGTAGCTCTATGACAGTAGCTCTATGGCAGTAGCTCTATGGCAGTAGCTCTATGGCAGTAGCTCTATGGCAGTAGCTCTATGGCAGTAGCTCTATGGCAGTAGCTCTATGGCAGTAGCTCTATGACAGTAGCTCTATGGCAGTAGCTCTATGGCATTAGCTCTATGGCAGTAGCTCTATGGCAGTAGCTCTATAGCAGTAGCTCTATGGCAGTAGCTCTATGACAGTAGCTCTATGGCATTAGCTCTATGGCAGTAGCTCTATGACAGTAGCTCTATGGCATAAGCTCTATGGCATTAGCTCTGTGGCAGTAGCTCTATGACAGTAGCTCTATGGCATTAGCTCTATGGCAGTAGCTCTATGGCAGTAGCTCTATGACAGTAGCTCTACTGCATTAGTTCTATGGCAGTAGCTCTATGGCAGTAGCTCTATGGCAGTAGCTCTACTGCATTAGCTCTATGGCAGTAGCTGTGTGGCAGTAGCTCTATGACAGTAGCTCTATGGTAGTAGCTCTATGACAGTAGCTCTTTGGCAGTAGCTCTTTGACAGTAGCTTTATGACAGTAGCTCTATGGCAGTAGCTCTATGGCATTAGCTCTGTGGCAGTAGCTCTTTGACAGTAGCTCTATGACAGTAGCTCTATGGCAGTAGCTCTATGGCATTAGCTATGTGGCAGTAGCTCTATGACAGTAGATCTGTGGTATTAGCTCTATGGCAGTAGCTCTGTGGCAGTAGCTCTATGACAATAGCTCTATGGCATTAGCTCTATGCCAGTAGCTCTATGGCAGTAGCTCTATAGCAGTAGCTCTATGACAGTAGATCTGTGGCAGTAGCTCTATGACAGTAGCTCTATGGCATTAGCTCTATGGCAGTAGCTCTATGGCAGTAGCTCTATAGCAGTAGCTCTATGGCAGTAGCTCTATGACAGTAGCTCTATGGCAGTAGCTCTATGGCATTAGCTCTATGGCAGTAGCTCTATGGCAGTAGCTATGTGGCAGTAGCTCTATGGCAGTAGCTCTGTGGTAGTAGCTCTATGACAGTAGCTCTGTGGCAGTAGCTCTATGGCAGTAGCTCTGTGGCAGTAGCTCTATGGCAGTAGCTCTATGACAGTAGCTCTGTGGCAGTAGCTCTATGACAGTAGCTCTGTGGCAGTAGCTCTGTAGCAGTAGCTCTATGGCAGTAGCTCTATGACAGTAGCTCTACTGCATTAGCTCTATGGCAGTAGCTCTATGGCAGTAGCTCTATGGCAGTAGCTCTACTGCATTATCTCTATGGCAGTAGCTCTGTGGCAGTAGCTCTATGACAGTAGCTCTATGATAGTAGCTCTATGACAGTAGCTCTATGGCAGTAGCTCTATGGCAGTAGTTCTATGACAGTAGCTCTATGGCAGTAGCTCTATGGCAGTAGCTCTACTGCATTAGCTCTATGGCAGTAGCTGTGTGGCAGTAGCTCTATGACAGTAGCTCTATGACAGTAGCTCTATGGTAGTAGCTCTATGACAGTAGCTCTATGGCAGTAGCTCTTTGACAGTAGCTCTATGACAGTAGCTCTATGGCAGTAGCTCTATGGCATTAGCTCTGTGGCAGTAGCTCTATGGCAGTAGCTCTATGACAGTAGCTCTGTGGCATTAGCTCTATGGCAGTAGCTCTGTGGCAGTAGCTCTGTGGCAGTAGCTCTATGACAATAGCTCTATGGCATTAGCTCTATAGCAGTAGCTCTATGGCAGTAGCTCTATAGCAGTAGCTCTATGACAGTAGCTCTCTGGCAGTAACTCTATGACAGTAGCTCTATGGCATTAGCTCTATGGCAGTAGCTCTATGGCAGTAGCTCTATAGCAGTAGCTCTATGGCAGTAGCTCTATGACAGTAGCTCTATGGCAGTAGCTCTATGGCATTAGCTCTATGGCACTAGCTCTATGGCAGTAGCTATGTGGCAGTAGCTCTATGGCAGTAGCTCTGTGGCAGTAGCTCTATGGCAGTAGCTCTGTGGCACTAGCTCTATGGCACTAGCTCTATGACAGTAGCTCTGTGGCAGTAGCTCTATGACAGTAGCTCTGTGGCAGTAGCTCTGTAGCAGTAGCTCTATGGCAGTAGCTCTGTGGCAGTAGCTCTATGACAGTAGCTCTGTGGCAGTAGCTCTGTAGCAGTAGCTCTATGGCAGTAGCTCTGTGGCAGTAGCTCTATGGCAGTACCTCTATGACAGTAGCTCTGTGGCAGTAGCTCTGTAGCAGTAGCTCTGTGGCAGTAGCTCTGTGGCAGTAGCTCTGTAGCAGTAGCTCTGTGGCAGTAGCTCTGTGGCAGTAGCTCTGTGGCAGTAGCTCTGTGGCAGTAGCTCATAAGTTTTCTTTCTGGAAATGTTTTTGAAGCAATTATTAATTAAGCATTTTTATCAAATAGAGTTTTTAGAAATGAGTTAAGTTTTTATGATATTGTTTTTTTCAAATCTAACTTTGTATAATTATGTTTTGAGTCACTTCTCCCCTTGAGACCTTCTCCTCGATTCCCACTGATGTGTGCTGTCGTTGTGTCCTTGGGCAAGACACTTAACCCCACTTTGCCTGAAGCCCCCGCTGAGAGATCGAGGCTGTGTGAACCGGGTGCAGCTCTCACTGCCCTCCTGATCCAGAAATAGGGATAAACTTCACATTCCAAATCAATCATAATAACAGATAATTGATAATGGTCCTTTTGGCCCCGGGGCCTCGGGTCTGAAGCGTGACTCTCCACATGTGTGTCTGTGTCGGTGCAGAAGTGGAACATTCAAAGTGTCGTGGTAATTGTACGTTAGAAATTTGCACTTTCATCAATTTACACACAGAGCAAAAAAGAAGAAGGCTCCAGGTTTGGTCGTCATGGCGATTACATTTTTCTGCTTCTTCAATCCTCAAACCCAGATGTGGAACTCACTGCCACATGGTACTGAGCAGGAGTGTGACAATATATCGATATTGTGATGTATCGTGACACTTTCTCACGCAACTGATTATTGATATGCTTTTTCTAAGTATTGACTTTTTTAAAGCTATACTTAATATATGGCTGCATTACACATTCTACATTTTCTGTAAAATGTTCATATTGATTTTATTAAGTCAGATTTCTACTAAAATGGTTAAAAGGCATTTTATCTTGTTACACATGACACTTTATCCATTTATCTAGAAATAAAGTGTATTTTTTCACTTAATTTATGGCATGAATATAAGTATAAATATTATTGTAGGTATATTTTTGACCAATATATCGATAATCGCTGCATCGTCATATCGTGAAATAATCGTTATCGTGAGCTTTGTATCGCACGTCGTATCGTATCGTACCCTGAGGTTCCCACCCCTCGTACTGAGCGTGTCAGAGGAGAGGGTTTCTGTCTGTGAAGGTGGGACCCCATTCATCCACCCATCCATCCATCTACCCATCCATCCATCCATCCATCCATCCATCCACCCATCCATCTACCCATCCATCCATCCACCCATCCATCTACCCATCCATCCATCCACCCATCCACCCACCCATCCATCTGTCCATCCACCCATCCACCCATCCATCTACCCATCCATCCACCCATCCATCTACCCATCCATCCATCCATCTACCCATCCATCCATCCATCCACCCATCCATTCATCCACCCATCCATTCATCCACCCACCCATCCACCCTTCCATCCATCCATCCATCCACCCATCCATTCATCCACCCACCCATCCATCCATCCATCCACCCATCCACCCATCCACCACCCCCCATCCATCTGTCCATCCACCCATCCACCCATCCATCCACCCATCCACCCATCCATCCACCCATCCATCCACCCATCCATCCACCCATCCACCCATCCATCCATCCATCCATCCACCCATCCACCCACCCATCCACCTATCCATCCACAGACCCATCCATTTATCCATCCACCCATCCATCCACAGACCCATCCATTTATCCATCCATCCACCCATCCATCCATCCACCCATCCACCCATCCATCCACCCATCCACCCATCCATCCATCCATCCATCCACCCATCCACCCACCCATCCACCTATCCATCCACAGACCCATCCATTTATCCATCCACCCATCCATCCACAGACCCATCCATTTATCCATCCATCCACCCATCCATTCATCCACCCACCCATCCATCCATCCACCCATCCACCCATCCACCCACCCATCCATCTGTCCATCCACCCATCCACCCATCCATCCACCCATCCATCCACCCATCCATCCACCCATCCATCCACCCATCCACCCATCCATCCATCCATCCATCCACCCATCCACCCACCCATCCACCTATCCATCCACAGACCCATCCATTTA